GAGTTCCGGCCCTGTCCCCGAGTAAGTCCCGCCCCGGCTGGCCGGCCCCGCCCCCGCCGGCCGGCCCCGCCCCCCGCCCCCGCCGGCCGGCCCCGCCTTCCCGCCGCCCTCCCGGCGGCTGCGGGAGCCTTTCTGGACTTTGCTGCGAGCCCTGAGCGTCCGGCTCCGGACTTCGGTCTTGGCCCGGAGGGCCCCCGCGCTCCGGAAGAGGCTGCCTGCGTTGGGAGGCGGCACTGCCCCGGAGGCCTGCTGGCCCCCGCCTGCCGGAGCCTGTGAGCAGCTCGCTGGGGGTCCCGGGGCCCTGGCTTAGGCCTTGGAAATGCCCGGTTGCACCCGGGGCGGCGTCGGAGAGAGCGGGGTAGGCGCCGCTCGAGGCGCAGATGGCGGGACCCTGACCCCCGGGCGGTCCCAGCGGTCGTGCCCACTTTTGCGCGGGACCGGGAGCTGGCCAAGGCTCAGGGGGGGCAGCCACAGCGAGCTGGACACCCCGGGTCCTCGCTGGCCCGCGCCCTAGGGCTAAAGATGGGTGACCGCTTAATGGTCTAATGGCCTCCTCGAAGGCCACCATGCGTCCACCGTGTTCCCACCGTGTCTTGGGGTCCTCAGCAACGCCTGGCACAAACCAGTCTTATTTGTTGTACAGGTGAAGGAAGTAAGGTATAAATTGGGCATGTGGAAGAGCCCCACACATGTTAGGGTAAGCTAGGCAGGAGAAATGCCACAGGTGAGGAGGGATGGTAAACAATATCATCCCACCCGGGAAGGCACAGGAACCGCGAGTCATGAAGAGGATGTTTGGGTGGGCAGATTTGTGCACTAATCCTACAGTAAAGGAGGGCAGGCACACCCTGGAGTCTTTGAATGTGTCATATCTAGGACAAGTCAGAGCAAGTACTTGTGAATTCTCGCAATTTTATGCTGCCTGGCATCTTTTGGGGGGGGAGTGAGGTCTCACTCTGTCACACAGGCTGGCATGCAGTAGCACAGTCACTGCTCATGGCTCATCTCCTGGACTTAGATGATTCTTGCGCCTCAGCCTTACATGTAGCTGGAACTACAAGCAAGTGCCACCACCTGACCACCTGGCTGATTTTTTTTTGGTTGTTGTAGATATAAAGTCTTGCTATGTTGCCTAGGCTGATCTTGAACTCCTGGGCTCAAGCGATCCTCCCATCTCAGCCTCCCAAAGTGCTGGGATTACAGGCATAAAACACCCTGGCCTGTTTTGATTACAGGTTTAACTTTCCTTCATACTATTAATAGAAGCAGGGCTCAGTTACCTGTGACAGTTTCCAGGTTCACACCACACCCAAATGCTCCAGAGATAAGAATTTAGAGACATTTCTCCTGCCTAGCCTACCCTAGCCAACAGGGTTCTTATTTTCCGGCCACTTCCTTTAAAGGGACCAGTAAGCCATTTGCCAGCGAACTAGTGACCCATGCCTTATCCCTTTATATGCATAATTAGTTTCCACTCTCGTATGCTCCCTCTCTGTGCCTGACCCTTTTGTTCCTGTCTTGTAACTGGGGACTGGGGACTGCCCTCCCAACTCATTACGCCCTACTTACCCAGGGCCTGTAAGTAAAAGACTTTTGAACTTGCTTCCTATTGTGGTGATAGATTGAATTTTTTTTTTTTAGTTGGAGTCTCACTCTACCGCCCAGACTGGAGTGCAGTGGCACGTTCCCGGCTACCGCAGCCTCAACCTGCTGGCCTCCGGCAGTCCTTCCGCCTCAGCCTTCCAAGTAGCTGAAACTACAGGCGCGTACTACCATGTCCAGCTAATTTTTTGATTTATTGTAGAGATGAGGTCTCGCTGCCCAGGCGGGTCTCGAACCCGCGGGCTCAGGCAATCCACTCGCCTCAGCCTCCCAAAGCGCGGGATTACAGGCTGAGCCACCGAGCTTTCACCTTCTATCAGAAGAACCCAGGGCTGCCCCAGGGCTGCCCCAAGTCGGGCTCCCAGCACAGAAGTGATAGTCAGGCATAAACTGGAACCGGGTCAGGTGAAAGCTGCCAGGACATCTGCCAGTATAAACAAGTTTCCCGAGTGAAGGACCTCTGGTTGTGGGTCAGACAACTAGGCCATGGGCTGCCCACCATGTACAAGAAGTAGCCCGTGAAGGCATATGGTTCACACCCACATCGAACTCCCTGTTTATTCACTACCATTTGCTAGTGGGAAATCCTAGGACTGAGTGAGATTTGGCCCCTTAGGGCTTCCAGTGCAGCAGGCCCATGACTGAGAAGCCACAGTCCAGGGCATTGAGGGCTGGAGAGTGATTCTTTCCCTGGGGGATTACAAGGGACCCAAGCCCTGGAGACAGAGAAGACCATAGGTTGCCAAAGTTAAGGGGTGCCAGGAGAGCCATGATGCAGGAAAAGTGTGGGCAAGAAAATATGGCAGCAGGCCAGGCTCGGTGGCTCAGCCTGTAATCCCAGCATTTTGGGAGGCCGAGGTGAGTGGATTATCTGAGCCTGCGGGTTCGAGACCCACCTGGGCAACTTGGCGAGACCTCATCTCTACAATAAATCAAAAAATCAGCTGGACGTGGTAGCGCGCGCCTGTAGTTCCAGCTACTTGGAAGGCTGAGGCGGAAGGATCGCTGGAGTCCAGGAGGTCGAGGCTGTGGTGGCCGGGAGCGGCCACTGCACTCCAGTCTGGGTGACAGAGTGAGACTCCAACTCAAAAAAAGAAAATATGACAGGAGTGGGTGAGGGGCTGGAGAGTGATGTGGTACTAGGCCGTGACAGGGCTTGAGTGTGGCGTTGAGGAATTTGGACCTTACTCTGAATAGGGTCTGAGGAGGTTGGGAGCTGGGGGTGCTGAGACCATTTTTTTTTTTTGACCTGGAGTCACTCCATCGCCCAGGCGGGAGTGCAGTGGCACGCTCATAGTCGACTTACTGGGCTCTAGCAATCCTTCCACCTCAGCCTTCCAAGTAGCTGGAACTACAGGCGTGCGCTACCACGCCCGGCTAATTTTTTTATTTATTGTAGAGATGAGATCTTGCCAAGTTGCCCAGGCTGGTCTCGAACCCGTGGGCTAAGGCAATCCACTCGCCTCAGCCTCCCAAAGTGCTGGGATGACAGGTTGAGTCACCGAGGCCGGCCCTATTTTATTTTTTATTGTAGAGATGGGGTCTCCCTATGTTGCCCAGGCTGGTCTCCAACTCCTAGACTCCAGTGATCCTTTTGCCTCAGCTTCCCAAAGTGCTGGGATTACAGGCACAGGCCACCATGTCTGGCTTGAACTCTTAAATATTAGAGGTGAGTTCTTTCTCTGTGGCATCATGCCCTGCTGGGGATGATTTTGAATTACGTCATTAAAATTTGGGGTAGGTGATTGTCTAGAAATAGATGACCAAAATGGCAATGACACATACAAGGAGTTTGGAAAACTCTGCTAAATGAATTAAAGAATGAAAGAAGAAATGTTGCACAAACCTGAGCAAAATCAGTTTACCTCAAACATTGTATTTTTCTTTTTAATTCCTTAGAGCCCAAGAAAGTGTCTTAGGGGATTTTTGGGCCTCTGGCCTCCAGTTTTGTGGTGTATTCTCTCTGAGAAAATAAGGATAAGTCTCTGGGAGGGGGTGCTGGTATCTGTATTTTTTTTCTTTTCTTTTTTTGAGTTGGGGGTCTCACTCTGTCACCCAGACTGGAATAGCACAATCACACCTCACGGCAGCCTGGACCTCCTGGTCTCAGTTGATCCTTACACCTCAGGCTCCTGAGTAACTGCGACTATAGGTGAGCACTACCATGTCCAGATAATTTTTTTTTTTTTATTTATTGTAAAGACAAGGACTTACTATGTTACCTAGGCTGGTCTCAACTTCCTGGGCTGAAGCAATTCTCCCACCTCGGCCTCCCAAAGTGCTGGGATTACAGGCGTGAGCCACTACACCCGGCCAGTATCTCATTTACTTTTTTCTTTTTTTTTGAGCTGGAGTCTCACTCTGTTGCCCAGACTGGAGTGCAGTGGCCACCCCCAGCCACCGCAGCCTCAACCTGCTGGGCTCCGGCGATCCTTCTGCCTCAGCCTTCCGAGTAACCGGAATTACAGGCCTGCACTACCACGCCCAGCTAATTTTTTTTTTATTTATTGTAGAGATGAGGTCTTGCCTGCTCAGTCGGGTCTCGAACCCGCGGGCTCAGGCAATCCACTCACCTCAGCCTCCCAAAGGCGTGGGATTACAGGCTGAGCCACCGAGCCCCGCTACTTTTTTCTTCTTGAGCCGGAGTCTTACTCTGTCATCCAGGCTGGAGTGCAGTGGCCCGCTCACAGCTACTGCAGCCTTGATCTGCTGGGTTCAGAGGATCCTTCCGCCTCAGCCTTCCAAGTAGCTGGAACTACAGGCACGCACCACCATGCCTAGCTTATGTTTTTAATTTATTGTAGAGAGGAGGTCTCGCCATGTTGCCCAGGCTGGTCTCGAACCCGTGGGCTCAGGCAATCCTCTCCCCTCGGCTTCCCAAAATTCTGGGATTACAGGTGTGAACCATCACACCCAGCTGGTATCTCATTTTCAATCCCCTTGTGGGTCACCTGGTTTCACACAGAGAAAAACTGTTAGATTGGTCACTACTCTCTGCACAAATGTACACCTAGTCATTGGAGCCCTAACAAAGGGTGGCCTGCACTGGCTTAGCCTTGGGACAGATTTCATCCTCCACCCACAGAGATTTGTCTCCAAGCAGATGCCCTGCATGTCAGGTGGGAGTGAGTGGTAACACACCTGAGGCTTCATGGCACGGCAGATTCTTTGTGGTGTGGGCATGGACTCAGGAATGATAACGTGAGTTAGAGGATATGGTGCAGCCAGAGCCAGCTGAGACATTGACCCCTGTGGCAGTGGCCCAGCCTGATATGACCGAGGGCTGGCAAGCTGGACCCTCCTGGCAGCTCATGACTACGGAGGAGGACTTGTATGTCCAGAAGCGGGGTGTGGGCGGAAATGCTGGGTCACTGGGGTGTGCCTGGTCCTGGTGCAGGAACACACCAGAGGGCAGCTCGATAGGCTCTCTGGAGCTATAAAAAACCCTTGGCTGCCTCCCACCCAGGGGACTGGAAGGCAATCTTTGGCACTTCTCCACACTAAAAGCTCACCATGTTTTCTGGTTCCTCAAGTCAAGTTGGCTGCCAACCTGTTCCCATCTTACTGACCTAAGACACAGTGGCCTAGGCACCCTCTGCCAGACCAGATGCTCCCTCCCTCCTTTCCTTCCCTGGGCGCAAGGTTAGGCTGGCCTTCTTGAAGCCCTAAGGTGATGGATACAGTGGAGAGAAATGACATGCTGCACCCCAATCCTAACCCTAACCCTAACCTTAACTCTAATCCTAGCCCTACATTGCCTTGTATTTTTTTCTCAACAGAGAAAAAAACACCAGGTTCTTTCTGACAACATCCACCATTTCTCTTGTAGTTCTTTTGTCCAGGGACACTGAGTTTTATTTCATTTAAATTAGTCCTTTATTTTTATTCTTTAGAGATGAAGTCTTTCTGTGTCATCCAGGCTGGAGTGCAGTGGCACAGTCATAGCTCACTGTAACCTCCAACTCC